GGCACTGGGTGACAGGCAAGCGAGGGTGCCGCGCAGAACAAAGTGCTCCACACACACTGCTCCTGTCCTTCCCTGGCTCCTGAGGGCACCCCTCATTAGCTCTGTCATGCCAACCAGGAAACCGAGGCTCGGAGAGGTCAAGGGAATTCTGAGGTCTCACACCGAGGTGACAGCAGAGTGGGCAGTAGGACAAGGGCTTCTGACTTGCTTTAGCCCTCTGATCCCCAGAAAGTGGGCATGTACCTAACGGTGCAAGCTAGCAGGAGACAGCTGCACACTCCCAGCCGTCCTCTGCGGGCCACCTGCCATTCTTCCTCCATGGTGCTTTCAGAGAGGCCATGGGGACTGGGGAGGAAAGCTCCTCTTGCTATGGCAACAAAGTGGGGAAACTGAGGCACAGAGTGGGCAGCTGCTTCAAGGTGGGATGCAACAGAGTATGCTCAGTTGCTGGTTCATTCGTTTCCAAGCCCAGCTTTGCTGGGGAGAACACAAATGTGGAGAGGCCTGCTGGGGCTTCACTCAGGGAGGGATGGTGGCCACTTCCTAGAAGGGTCTCTCAGGGGACTTGGTGGGTGGCAGCAGAGGGACACAAGGCTGACATAATGGGAATGTTTGCAACTGCAGGTTGAACCAAAATCCAATCAGTATAGCGTCAAGAAACCATCACAAGATACAGGCAACCCTATCCAGGCCTGGGGTAGGTGCCAGTCTCTGTCCTCTGGAAGAAGAGACATAGGCCACCAGGCAGGGGCCCTGGGGAAGGCATTCCAGCCTGGTGCCTGTCACTGAGCCCCAGGAGGCAGCTGGGAAGAATCCTGACCTTGGAGGTCCTCGTGCCCTGCCCACATGGCTCTTTTCCCTCCAGGGCTGGCCAGTCACTGGGTTTATCTATGTGGCTTCTTGTAGGAGCCTTGTACAAACCTTTTGGGGAAAAGTTCTCAAATACCTAAGTCTTTTTTTTTCTTTCACATAATTTCAAACTTGGGAAAAAGTTGCAAAAATATCTTAAGAACTCTCCTATATCCTCTACCCAGAATCCATTTAAATCGTTTGCTTTACATTTGTGTACTCTATCAGTATACCTACGTGCATATAATCTATCTATATATCGATATGCATACAGTCTCTTCTGAACCATCAGAGGATGAGGTATCAGAATGTCTAAGGGCATGGGAACAGTCCTACCACCCCTGGGTGCCACTTGAAAGGGTTCATTGCTAAGCACCCACACACCCACCTCCTCCATGCTGAGGTGCATCAAATAGGCAACGATACCTCCAGGTTACAGAGGAGGAAACTGAGGCATGGTCTCCTGATGTACAGTGCCCCTCCTACAGCACTCAGCGACCCACACCTGAGCTCTTAGCATAAAACAGAACCCACTTCGCAGACTGATGACATGATGATGTCGTGGCAATTCTTAAAAGAAAGCAAACCGAGTTGCCCCCACAGCAGAATAAAGAGTGGATCAGGACTGAGGTGGCAGATTCTGACAGTGCAGCACTGACTCAGGTACTATGGGAAGGGGTGTGGGCTTGAGAGAGGGAGGTGAAAGGCTCCCCACTGAGGGCTTGGGTCGCCTCCTCCACTGGGGCTTGCTCTCCACTTCTTTCCTTTTCTGTTCTCAGACAACTGGGATGGATGGACTTCTCCCTGAAGGGCAAGGCCTGGGTGTGTTCTTCATCCCAAAGCCCAGGGGCATGGGGCCCAACACAAGGCAGGTTGCAGTGCAACTGATGAATGGATGAACAAATGAATGAGTCAGAGACCTGAGTTCTGGCTCTGCCTTCCTAGGGTGGGCTACTCAACTGCTCTGAGAATCAGTTTGCTCATATGCAACACTAAGCATTTCTACAGTGGTTGCATATTGTTAAATTAGGTGAGATTTGTAAAGGGGCCTGTGAGGTGGGTATTAAAATTCTGGTTCAGAGTTTGCTGAACTGTGCTCTGGAAAATGAACAGAAGATGGGAGAAATAGAAAGCAAAGCTAAAAATGCTTAAATATGAACAATGTAGATAATTGTGCACACACACATACACACACATGCCTTGCAGCTCTGCATATCTTAAGCTTAGCAGTCTCTCTCTGACAACTCCCCTTCCTTTTGAGACCCTCAGAAGCCCAGGATGGAAAGCTGGCAATCGTGGGCTTCCCCTGCAGACACAAATGTGCCAATCTCTGTAACACTTGTGATGACCCAGCAGAGCCTGGGGGCATGGAAACAAGGAACAGAAGAGAGGAAGGCAGCTCTTTCTAGAAATGGATAGGAATGGTCTATCTCATTCAGGTAAGGCACAGAGCTGAAAAGCAAAGCATAAAATGGACAGCTATACAAACTCTTCGATACTAGCAACCATTTATAGGAGATCATGTTATCGCAAGTAGAATGCCACTGGTACATGCACCCCTGATGACAGAAGGAAAGACATCTGTGTGTGTATGTGTGTGCACGTGTGGGGCTGCAGGCATGTATGTATGCATGCATGTGTGCATATGTGTGCACATGTGGGTGTGTGTAGGGGTGTGTTGGTGTGTGTTCACAGACATCACAAGACAGACTATCAGACTTTAATGTTCATAAGCATCTTTTCTCCTGCACAGTTTCTTAAGCCATTTGTGTAACGAAGATGAACAACTATCACCAACATGTTTTATCAAAGCCAGGCACAGGGCTGGGCTAAGACATAGGCTAGTCTCCCAAGTGGACATGGTCCCACGCCCTAGAATCCCTGATGTAGGGCCAGTGCTGCCTGTCCCACCCAGCACAGCCTGGGTGATGGACACCAGTGCACAGTGGGGGATAAATCAAACTCCCCCCTTGGAGCTTTGTGGGTTTTGCTAAGTCTGTCTGAACCAGGCTTCCTACCAAGCCCTTCCCTGAATTCCAGTGCACCGGTGGAATTAAAGAAGAGAGAGGCACTCACCCCCTGAAAGCTGGCCAACAGGGTGATTACTCCACTTTTCCTGGAATGAGCTTTCCACACTTTTGCCGGCTGGAGCCATCAGCAGCCAGGACTCCCACCTCCCCGACCTGTTCTCACACCCTCTGCAGCTCTACGGTGCTTTCAAGTAAGTCACCTCTAAGTGAAATTACACTAAGAAAGGAGGCTGGCTCCTTGTGCCTGAGGACACGGGAGGGAGGGGGGAGGCTGGCACAGAGTGCTCAAGATGCACTTTGGATGAAGACAGGCAGGGTAAAAAGCCGTGCTTCTCCCCTCCTCTAGTGCCAGCCCTGGTCTGCTGGTCTTTTGACTCGGGGGCTCGCTGACTGAGCACGCACATGTATCACCAAAGCAACCCCCAACCTGGCCACACATGAAAAGCCCCAGGGCAGAGAAACCCCACATGCAGGGGCACCAGGCCAGCCTCCCATCAAGGCAGAGAACAAAGATGAGAACCGAGAGCTGCCACTCACAGGGCTGACCTTTCATGTGTCACATCAGATTTTCCGTTCACCAGCAAAGCAAAACCAAACCAAGCAAGACCAGCACACCACCTCCCCACCCATCACACAACTTGTGAACCCATAAGAATTTATATGTAGCAAACCAACCAGAGTCCAGACGTGGGTAATGTCATTAAGAAGCCTGCACAGAGCCCAGATGCCAGGAGGGTCCCGGTGATAGACTCCAGCCTCAAAGCAAAGGAAAAGCAAGACACAGCACAGACTTCTGCAGACACAAAAGCATTCTTCTCATCCCGCCCAACAGGAACAGATCTGATTATCAGAGGGAAGCACCAGGAATTCAGGTCTAAGACAGCTTTAAAGAAACAGGGCTTTGGGAGATGAACAAATGCAGTTTAAAGAGGCCTGACCACAGAACCAGATGGGAGCCCTGCCTTGAGCCACCTTGAAGGCTGATTCTCTTATTAAAGCAATCTCTCCAAGATAATGTTGGAACAAAGTGCACAACCCAATCAGACGCTCATAAGCCTGACTCTAAAACACATACCTGAATGTCTACGCCCCTGTCATTTAGCGCCCCCAAGTTGGGCACCATGTTCAAAGTCAAGTGTTGTTTCTCTGACACCTGCATCAAACTTCGAAGCTTCCCTGTGAGTCAGATGGGGGCCACTTGGTGTTCGCTTTCTATTTAAAGATTACACAGGGCTTCCTCTCAGACACTATTCAAACCCATGGCTTCTAAGAACTGGGCGCTAAATTTGTTGCCTCACTTTCCATCAACGTTGGAGATATTCTAGTTGACCAAGGGGGTTCTCTTTTCCATTGCGTGCAGCACACAGGCAGAGGTATGGGGAGGGGCTGCCTGCCTCTGGGTGCAGATCTGGAGAATGCCCCCGGGGATGGCGACTGACAGATTAACCTCATCAAGTTTCCTCCAGGAAAGCTATTCAGAAGCCATCCTGAATGTCTCTGAGGTTGCAGATGGAGGAGACACGATGGAGAATGTCACCCCACTGGGCAGCAGCCTTAAAATCCTTTCTGAACTGTCCCAAACAAATGGTGGTGCTGCCAGGACCACTCCGCCCAGAACCAGACAGCAGGGGATTCCTGCTATCCCATCTTCTTAGAAAGTCTTGGTTACAGAGACACAACATTACCCCCCATTGAACTCCATTTTCAGGTGAGAAAGGATTAGAGAGATTTGTACCCAGCGATTGCACTTGGGAGCCCTGCCCCATCTGGGGTGCATGCACATGCCTCTAAATCTGCCCCCTCCACCTGGTCAGACCACGGTCCAGGAAGGCTGGCAGTCCAAGCTGTGTAGCAATCACATTGGAAAACGGAAGTGCAACAGACAGCACAGGACCCAAGCACTGTGAGGTGGAACCGGCTACTCCCAGCCACCGTGAAGTAGACCCACTGCCCCCAAACTCTGCTGCAGCCCCTCTGCCCTCAGTCAAGCCCTGCCCGCCCTCCCTCTCTCCCTCCAGCTTAGCTCCTCAAGAGAAAACAAGCAGCCCACGTGACCAGGACAGAGCCTTCCCTGCGAACAGATCCGTCCTAAAGGCTCTGACAGTTTTAGCAGAAAATTACCTTTCAGGAAGAAAATGTAAGGAAGGGGTGGAGGGGAAACAAAGTATCCGGCCGGGGCTGGGCCAGAGCCCCCGTGTCCACAGAGGCGCCGCACTCTCCACACAGCCAGCCTCGGGGGGCCACCCCCAGGGTGGCCCATGCCTGCCCCAGGCCCCGGGGCGGCTGGACAGATGAAAGAGCAGAACCAGTGGGGGACAAAGGAAGGGAGGCCAAGAGGAAGGGGTGGGGAGAGGGAGGGAGGGAGGGAGGGAGGGAGGGAGGGCAGAGGGAGATTTGGTTCTCTCCGCTGGGACCACTGAGCTAAGTTGCCATGGAGAAAGGGGAGCTGCTGGCAGAGCCCGAGGCGGGTGGAGGAGCCATATGCTGGAGGGATGGCGTCAGCCAGAGCCAATCCCCACCCTCGCCTGGTGCAGCCTCCCCGTGAGCAGGCCTGCCACCCGCACCTCAGGCTGGGAGGGGACCTGGGACCAGGGGCTGGCAGCCCTCTTCCCCAGTAGGGGCTGGGGGCCTGGGCTCCTCACCTGGTGCCCTCACCCCCACCAGATCCCCTGGATGAGGAGCCCAGAGTCCCTCCCTACTGCCGGGGTATCGCTGGGGCCCTGGTGCTAGGGCAAGCATTTCAGACCAACCGCCTCCCCAGTTCTAAAAATCGGAGTTGCCAAAAGCCGAATCATATTTCCTGCTCTCAGGAATGAGAGATGTCCACCTGTAGGAGGGCTTTGATGCCCAGAGCCCCCCAGCCCTCAGCCCACCCTGGACCCCCACCTGCCTGTGACCAACCTGCTGCTGTTTCTGTCCATGACCCCAGCTCCAGGACTGGCCTTTGCCACTGGCCCCTGCTCACACTCAAGCAACAGCAACGGGGCTGGGGAGAGTTGGAGGTGTGGGTGGGGCCTCAGTTTCTCCCTTTGGAGACCATGTCACAGGGGCAAGCCCAGTTCCTCTTTGGGCCTCCATTCCTCATCACAAAGGGGGACAATCCTGCCATCTCCCAACCTGCACTCCAGGCACCAAGACACCCGAACAGCTGGGGTGTGGACATGGGGCAGTAGGGCCACCTTGGGAGTGGCTGTCAGAGCATGATTGGCACAACATCCCAACCGTCCAAACCTCTCAATGAGGACAGAGGCTCTGTGGAGCTGAGGCCTTGCTTCCCTGACACAGAAAGACCCAGGGTAGCCCAGGGGGGAGCCTGTCTCAAGGCTGTGGCTTAGAAACACTTCCTCTTTGCTGTCTTCTCCCCACCTTCTCTCAACAATTTATTACAAAAACATCCAAACACATGGCAAAGTTGAAAACACTTTATAACAAGCTTCTGTACGTTTACTACCTAGATTCTACCATTTCCTCTCACTTTTAGAGTGGCAAAACACATAAAAAATTTACCACTTCAACCATTTAAAAATATACAATTCAGCAGCATGTAGCACATTCCCAGTGCTGTGCAACCATCACCTCTATCTAGTTCCAGAACATTTTCATCCCCCCAAAACCCAAGAGGTGTTCATTCCCTATCCTCCACCCCCAGCCCCTGGGCCTTGGAAACCACCAGTCTGCATTCTGGCTGGATACGCTTGCCTGTTCTGGACATTTCATAAATGGGATCATAGACAGGCCTTGTGTGTCTGGCTTCTGTCACTCAGCATCATGTGTCGAGGTTCACCAACTTTGTAGCGTGTGTCAGTGCATCATTCCTTTTTGTGGCTGGACCATATTCCATGTGCTACATACATTCATGTGCTGATGGACATGTGCGCTGTTTCCACCTTTTGGCTCTCTCACTTTTAAAATGAGTCTCTCAGAGACCAGTGAAGTTTCCTGGAAGCCTTCCCAAAGGAGTTGGTCTCAAAAATGCAGGTCCCAGCAGCCCCAAACTGTATGTTAATCCCTGCTGTGCCTTTTCATTAGTGCACTTCTCCCCACTGGGTGAGGGAGCATGGGAGGCTCCACCTGGCCCCCCCAGGGCCAGAGGCAGGGCTCCCAGAGCAGGTGGGTGGCCATCCAGCTGGTTTTGGTCTCCTCTGGGCTACAGGGCACATATTCATGGTAATCGTATCCATGTTCTGAGACCCAACAGACCATGTTCTAGTATTCTCTGGCACTTGCATGACTAGCAAGTTATTTCCCCTCTCTGAGCCTCAGGTTCTTCATCTGTTAAGTGGGGGCAATAGTCTATCTCATGGGGTTGCTCTAAAGACAAGACTGGCACTACCCAATTGAACTTTCTGTGATGATGGATATGTTCAATCCCAGCTCTGTCCAGTCCAGTCCAGCCAACTCTAGCCCCACATGGCTACTGAGTACCTGAGATATAGCAGGTATGACTGGGAAGCAAAATTTTAAATTTTATTTCATTAAAAAATTCAAGTGAAATAGTCACACAGGGCTAGTGGGGATCATTCTGGACATAGAGGCTCTAAGGATTCGATAAGATGGGGATGCAGGACTCACAGCCCAGGCCAAGCAGCCTGCTCCTGTCCCCCTCTTTCATCTCTTCCTCTCCCGACCTACCCCATGGTGTCTGGGTGGTAGAGGAGGCTGCTGCCTGCAGCCCGGCCCCTGAGGCTCCCCTCTAAAAGGACAGAGGGTGGGTAGTCAGCCTCTCAGGGAACAAAACACACCAGCTGCAGGGTGAGTTCAATGGTCTATAGAATAACATAGGTCCCTGAGCTGCTGACTTTTCCTCCTGCCCCTATTGGCCCCAGAGTCCTGTTATAGAACCCCATCTTCTGCCATTTCCCCCAGCTACTTCTGAGATGTCCCTGAAATATCTGGGCGGGAGCTATAGGATTAGAACAGACCCTCCCCCATTCCTGAAGTGGCAGCAGGGACCCCCGTGAGGGTGTGCAGAGGCTCCTGGGTCCCAGGCTGGCTGTGGGGCCATGCACGCAGGGACACCTTCCCACATGCATGAAGCTGCTCTTGCAGGGCATGGTCTAGCATCCAGACCAGATTCTCACCCAACTGTCTCATTTTGAAGGTGCAGAAACTGGGCTCAGCTGGCAGAGTACATGGCAGCAAGGCAGAGAGCAGTGGGGCTGAAGCCAAGGCTCCGACTTCCAGCCCGGCCTGCATGGGCCTCCTGAGAGGCCCGGGTGGAAGGGGACCCCCACACAAAGGCAGGTCAAGAGCCTGGGGGACAGCTCTGTGCTTCTAGGGGGCTGTGTGTCTTCAGAGCCTGAACAGCAGGAACTGAAACATGGCCAAGCCACCTCACTCCTGTCCCCACCCACACACCCATCCGGGTGGGCCAAGGAGAAGCAACATCTGGGGAGTGGCAGTGGGGACTCCAAAAAATTTGAACACAACCACAAAGAACCACAACTCTCACTGTGCTCTGAGCCCACAGATAGTACAGGGCACCCTGAGCTGGGAGCTACTGCCAAGGGCAGAGGTCCCTGCCTGACCCCCGGCCCCTAGCAGCAAAGCCCTTCTGAGTGCCATCTGCCTTCCTCAGCAGAACAGCCACAGGGATCCCCTTCAGACCTACAGCCCCACGCAGCCTGGCCTCACCCTGTCCTGGCCTGCATGCTTCCCCTCTGCCCAGAGCCGCCCCTCCTGCGCCTCTGCTCTGCACCCCTTCTCACGAGGGCCTTCCTCATTGGTCCTTATTTAAAATTTAACCCTTACCCAGCACTCCCCTGACCCTTTGTCATTAACTTTAGCTTCAATCCTTACCTAATATACTGTGGACTTTACTTAGTTTTTATTTTTTAAATTGTGGTAAAAATACATATAGCATCCACTTTACCATCTTAATGTTTAAGTGTGCAGTTCAGCGGCACTGAGCACATTCCTGTGGCCCACCATCCATCATCTCCAGAGCTTTTCAACCTTGCAACATGAGGCTCTGTCCCATAAGCAACAACTCCCCCCAGACTCCCCAAGCCTCTGGCGCCCACCCTTCTCCACTCTGTCTCTGTGAATCTGATGCCTCAGGGCACCTCACATGAGGAGACTCACTCAGTATCTGTCTTTTGTGTCTGACTTGTTTCACTCGGCCTAATGTCTTGCAGGTTCATCCACCATGTAGCATGTTTTTTTTTAAGAACGAGAGGAATGCCTGGCACCCAGCAGGCACTGATCAAATCTTCATGAATGAATGAACACACAAATGAATCAATGAAGACTTGCAGGGGTTAGTCCCCATGAGGCTGGACCTGCCCCTGCCCCCACTATGGACCAACTCCCAGCAATGGCAGCCAACCCCCATGGCTTCAGACACCTGTCCTAGAGTCTCAGGCCCACAGTCCCAAGGGGCGACCAGACACAGGACCACAGGACTCCCCTACCCCTGCACTTGATAGTGGGCTTTTCCTCAGGACATGGCACATCTATGGGAGGCTTAATACAGAGACAGAGTCCCCAGCTGTGGATGTGACGAGGTGCCTTGGAGCCTCACGGTAGCCCCACACAGCACGTGGCAGAGAGGAGAGATGGAGATGAGCAAGGGCCTGGCACGGATTCTCTGATTCTGCCAACTGTACACAGCAGGGCGCCAACACGGGTGGGGATTCAGGAGACCCGAGTCTATGTGACACAGCCACTGCCCCAGAACAGGGCTTACAACCTTAGCAGTCCCTTGCCCTTCACCTTCTCCACATCCTGCCAGGCTATTTATAGCCTCCTTCTTTCTGAGAATTCATTTACCCATGTTTCTGGGCCACATAAGCTGGTAAATTGAAGTGAGGCAGACCCCTTGCACACACAGCAAGGGGTGACAAGGCTCCAGCCAGGAAAACCACTGGGAGACTCAGGGGTCACCCCTTGTCAGACCTGGGGTGCCCCAGAGTAAGAGGCGTCCACAGAGAGGGCAGCAGCTGTGTGCCCACGGCGAGGCCTCAGTGCCCAGCCAGACCTCACTCAGGGGCCTGGATGATAGTGACCCCAGAACCCAGATCACCCTGGAGCTTCTCCCCGTTCCAGGAAAAAAGACTGGGACAGTGGAAAACAGCTGTACCTTTAAATTATTTGGCCCACAGATTCTGAAAACATTTGCATGTTGAAGCTGTTTGCATGTTTGGTTATTTTTAGGGTGAACCCAGTTGCCTCTCCTTGGAACCGGATGAAGCCCAAGAAGCACGTAATCCTTTTTCCCAGACGGGGGTCCTGGTCTTGTGTGCCTGGGAATGAGGGCTTAAGTATGAGGTCCCTGGGGCTCATGGGGAGCACCCGT